GAACAACCAGCCAGTGAGGAAGACCACTTCAATTTCCACCAACCAAATACTTCTATCCACAGTACATTTTAGGGATACTTTTTCCAGAGTTGACCATCAGAAAGCTATTGGTCCTGACAACATTTCTGGTTCAGTTCTCTGTAAATGTTCTGACCAGCCTGGAGATGTCCTAACTAAACATCTTCAACATTTCTCTGAGCCAGGCAGTTGTCTAAGATGGCTTCAAAACAACTATCATCATCACACTCCACTGTACATCAAAGGTTAAGCTGTGGAGTCAAAAGCTCCAAGATCCTTGGTGGCATATCAATGATGACCTCACCTTGACCCTCTACACCAACTGAGGGTCCTCCCTTCCATCCTCACTGCATTGTACAGGGAAAGAATAGAGAGCATCCTGACCAACAGATTGAGAGGATAGCTGTGAAGATCATCGGGGAGTCTTTTATTCAATTAAATCCAAATAAGTTGAGTGTAATATAAAAAAGTATATAACAATAACGTAGCAACATTAAATAACAATGTAAACAGTCTGTTTTTTTTTTCAAGGCTACAACACACACAACCCCAAAAGTCCCTCTCTGTCTAAACGTCTCCCAGGTCTCCCTCTGTCTCCCATGTTCATTCCATATATATCAATGTTAATTCCATATATATCAACATTCATTTAAAATATCTCAGTATATATATATATATATATACAATGAACTTTGATATATATGAAACAGTTCCCCCAAACAGACTGTTTACATTGTTATTTAATGTTGCTATGTTGTTGTTCCTCAGTTAGTGAATGTGTTTACTGTGTTATTTTGTGTCCAGCTCAGAGTTAGGGAGATTGTATTTGTGTATGGTGACCATCAGAAGAAAGAGTAGGGCTAGGAGTGACCTACCTCAATTTTCAGTTGAGGTATATATCAAAGTTCATTGTATATATATCAAAGTTCATTCCATATATATCAATGTTCATTGTACATATATGAATGTTGATTCCATATATATCAATGTTCATTGTATATATATGAATGTTCATTCCATATGTATCAAAGTTCATTGTATATATATGAATGTTCATTCCATATATATCAATGTTCATTAAATATTTCCTGTTTGGCTTGCCATAATACATCCTGCGATGGACTGGCGACCTGTCCAGGGTGTATCCTGCCTTCCGTCCAATGACAGCTGGGATAGGCTCCAGCACCCCACCGCAACCCAGAAGGATAAGCGGTTTAGATGATGTATGTATGTATGTATGTATGTATGTATGTATATATATGTATGTCCTGTCTGCTGCAGGACGCTGTGGTGCTTCTCTACCTGGGTGCAGTATAATCTGTAAAACTATTAGTATAAAAAACAACTGAGCTCTACAAACAGCCTTATCCATAGTTTCATTAGATGACTTTTAGACTGTTTTGGCTGAATGTTAAATTAATAATGTTCTAAAGTAGATTCTTAAAATGTCGCTATTAGTCCTTAGACATCAGCAAAGAAGACAGCAGCCAGTCTAATGCTAACAATGGCAAAAGAAAGTAAATTTAACTGCTGGGCTAGCTGATTATAGTTTTTAAATCTATGTCATTAAAAAAGTCTGATCTCGTACCACTTCTTTTTTAAGCTTTTTGTCTCCATGTGTCTCTGCTGTGATACATTACATGTAACAATACAAGTATTAATAGACTTTCTTCAAAAGTTCAAGGTTGCCTACAATATATATATGCCCCATTCTATCAACTCTGCCCCATTCTATCATTTATTTATTGAAATATTTTTATCATGTAAATATAAACAGAATATTGCAAATATGCCAAATCAAAGTAAAAATGAAAAATTCAAAAGATTCAAGAGGCTTCAATTCTAGTCATGTCTTTTCTGGTTGTGGGGCATGATTTTATAAGGGTGATTCCTACAGTTAGCATACAGTCATGCTTCCCTGCACCCTGAAAATATGTAAAATCCAGAATCTTATACTGAGTGAAGAGAGTGGAAAGGAGTGAACTCCAGATCCACAAGAATTGCCATAGACATTTACCAAATTGAAGGATCAGTCCTTTGTGTGAATTACTGATGATACCAAAGCAGGTAATCAGTACTATCAGTTCCACTATAAGTGCAGAACATATCAGAATTTGTCTGCAGCACATTTGTTCAGTTTCTAATTATATTTAAATGTTGTTTGATCTGCACAAACATTACAAGGCACCTCTTATGATTACTTTGAGCTGATGATATGTGACCTAAATGATTTGTTTGTGACATACAGTACCTGAGACTATTATGAGAATCAGTAGCAGTGCTCTGTGTGTTGAAAGTTCAGTGAGGCCAAGGCTCAGAGCTCAGACCTCCCTGGAGCCCTAAGCAAAATTCTGCACAGAGGTCCTTTTACGTGACCCGAGAGCAATTCCCACACCTGACACCCCAGTGTTCCAACATCAATTTTTCTCCATTTGTTGGTCTATAATTAAGTAGACCTATGGAGATACAAACAAACAATATTTATCAATCAATCCATATTTACTCCTCTACTGACAAACTTAAGCATAGCACCTGAAAAATTATGGATAATACTATTATTAATTTCAAACTGGTTTCCTCAGATTTTCTTTTATACATTTTCAATAATAAAATGGTATTACTAGATATACTATGGCTTGGCTGAATACTCGAAGGTTACTATTTACTGAGAGATATGCATGTATATTGTCCAGTATGCCCAGGTTTTTCCTGACTGTATTATGGTGGGTATCATAAAAACTATATATATATATATATACTATATACTCTATTTTAAGAGAGTAGACTTCCTGGTTTATTTTTGATATATAAAATTACATACATAAGAAAGTAATATGACGGATGGGACTGTGTGATAGATTGGAGTGCCAGCCAGGTTTGTGTATCTAACAGACCTGGAAACTGTAGCTGGGAGACCTTTTGACTCAACTAAGAAATTTGAGTTGGTGCCCTCAAGTTGAGTCAACTAAAGAAAAGCCATGTAATCAGTTACTAGATCATTTTAAGTTCAGCAGACTTCTCATTTTTTTACAATGTACAAAGGAGTGTGCATATAAATGGCACCTCTGTAATAAAATACTTTTATGTTTATTATGTTTGAATAAACACAATAATAATAAAATAAAATAAAACTAGCAGCTGACAAAATGCAATTATGCAACTAACTAAAACTACCTTTCATGTCCTGTTAATAGCATGTCTACATAAATCTTTTGATAAACAGTGTCAGTGTTTGTTTGACCCTGTGCATCACTAAGTTCACCCTCAGATTGCAAACTTTGCCAGCTAACATCTCTCAAGAATCCTAGCATAAGAATGAATGTCATGAAGAACTTGATAATTACCTGCTAGATCTGGTGTGTTTTTGCAGAGAAAACTATGCTGGACAGTGGATCCTCAGGACTGGAGTTTAGAACCACTGATGAACATCACTGACATTCTGGTTTTTTATCCACGTTGGAGGAACACTATTACATGACACTTAGGGGCAGTATTGGCAAGGTTACTGGAGAAGAGATTAATTTTGAAAAGTCTGAGTTTCACTAATATTCTTTCTCTATAGGAAGCTACAGCCTGAGTATAGAAAGGACTCAGATGGAAAAGTATGAAGTCCAGCAGTGCTGATTCCAAAAATGTTAAAGTGTTCTAATTAATATATATATATATATATATATATATATATATATATATATATATATATATATATGTATAGTAGTCCTGGTGATGAGTCAGGATCTTCTGGTATCATCATAGTTTGGTTTACATATTTGTGGACGATGGTTGAATGTGATGATGTCACAGTGGCTCTCAGAAAACAGTAGTACAAAGAATACACTCTCTCTCTCTCTCTCTCTCTCACACACACACACACACACACACACACACACACACACACACACACAGCTTCTGGACTGTCAGTCGAGCTGATGACTTTTAAAATCTTTAGGAACTGAGTGATTAAATTAAACTAAAAGTAGAGTTTGAGATTTGTGAATATCATTTGTGTATCATACTGTCATATTAGAGTTCACAGCACTACACTACAGAGACATACAATGTACTAATTTTGTCTAATAATGTCTAATTTCTGTCCAGTGTAAATAAGAACTGTATTCCCTTCATGGCTGCTTTCATTCTGGCACTGTAGGGATGTAGAAAATATTTTATTTTTGGTAGAGAAATGGAGAAACTTAAAAATGGTGTTGCCGCCTTGTGGTACATAATGTCACATTGCGTTGGTGATAAACAGTTTTATAGACGAGGGTGTCTTTAGTTTCTTCTTCTTCTTTTTTTGTAATGCATTCAAGGGTTAACTTATTGTAGTCACACAGTCTTTATACTAGGTGTAACCTGAGTTGAACTGTCACATACACACAGGTTTTTGTACAGTGTTGCTGGGTTTCCTGTCGCTGTGGGCTGCAGGGCACAGTAGTAGAGTGCAGAGTTTGATACTGCAGCAGAGGAGATCAACAGATCCACACGCTTTTTGTCTTCATCCACTTCAGCAGACATACGAGGAGGAAGAGGATCACTCTTAATCCCCTGAGGATAAATGTACAGGAGAAACTCTGGCCTGGATCTGGGTAACTGTCGATACCACTGAAGAGCGTAATTAGTATAACTGGTACTGTAGTTGCAGGAGAGAGTAGCATTATCACCCTCTGAAACATGCATTTCTCCTGCGTGTGGCACAAATGTCTGTGCTGATGAGTCTCCTGGAAATAAAAACATTATTGAAGAAAATAAAACACTAATTTAAAATTTGACATCGACCCCACATTTATTTGTACAATTAAAGGAATTTGTTGTCATCACACCTTCTATGTTATCTGTTGTAACACATTTTGTGATAAATTATCTGTTTTAAAAAAAAAATAATAATAATGTGTTGTCTTGTATCTAGTTAAAGATACAATGTTGTTTTAAATGTTCATAATGTTGTTGAGAGTGTGTATATTTCTTAGTCATTAAAATTCTCTTACCTAAAAGCAGTGCTAGGAGAGAAAGGATAGAGAGCAGCATGTTGATAGAGATGTGAAGTGACTGAGAGCAGAGACAGAGACAGAGCTGAATGGGATTAGTGTAGCTCTGTGCTGAGATACACAGCTCCACCCATAATGCAGCTCATATACTCAATCACAATGTACTGCTGTCATGACTCATTTCTTTATCTTGTGATTTCAGGTACAGGTTTGCCCTCATCTCATTTTATCATTTTTTAAGGCTATGTCATTCATGTTCTTTATTTCTGTGTAAAAAATATTTGTATTATTTAAAAAAGCTTTTTAAAAGTTTCTACAAAAGGGACAGCATCTGCTTTTTCACATGTATCTCTAGGTATAATGTTCAGAAACTCAAGTGAGGCGTTTTGGGAGATTTTCTACATGTCCTCTAAATAAAATAAAATTCTGCTAAATGGTTCAATTCTATTCATTCTGCATTGGTTATTTATGATTTCACATCCACCAACCTGTGGATTAGATTATTAATTCCTCAGATTTTTTTTTCTGTCTTTGACTCTAACACAGCAAACACAGGAGCAATGTTAGATGCTGAGGGGAACTTCTTGTCTTTTACACTTTAGAAGATCTTACTGAAACAATATGAATGGCATGTGCATTAGTCTTTAGCTGAACACACAATGTTTCAGTCACAAATGTGAGTACTTTACAGTCCTGTTTAATCCAACTGATTTATCAAGGTAACTGTCAGCAGCTCAAATAAACTAGTTAACTGATCTTGACATTTTTCTGTAATATGATTTATTGGACACCATATTAAAGTTATGTTTAGCAAGAACAGTAAATCAGTAATGTTTAGCTCACCTTAGAGCCAGTATAAGTCTATCTGTTACTAGTTTTACCCTTGAAGTGTTAGGAGAAATGAAATAAAAACAGCACCACCATTTCTTAGTCAAATAAATCTCATTGATTTACTGCTACTGCCATTGCCACTGCAGGTTTGTTGTGAGGAGTTCTTCCTTTGCTTTTTGTAACTTTTTTGTTCTAGTCCTGCACAAAAAGCTCACATGCTAACTTGTAGGTGACCTTGCTTGTGAGCCTCTGGTATCAGAATAAGAGCAAATTCAGACTTAACTTAATCTGAGTAATTTTGTTGTAGATCCAAGATTCTGATAATACCCCCAAGCCTTGTACTGTAGCTGAGAGTGATATCTGCTTCCTCTACAGGCTTTTCAAAGGATAGTAGTCGTATTTTCTAGAAAGAAACAAACAAACCTAGAAAGGCAGAGAGACTATGCATTTATTCAAATCAAATTTCATAGTGATATGTGAGATGTATTCACTATAATATGTTTTGAGGGTAAATTTCAAGGAGGCCAGTGTGTTGATCTGACAGGCTTAGCTGCTCGTTCGACTTAAAAAGAAGACCAGAGCTCCACCTCCTGGTAGACTTACATAAATCTGAAAAGAAGTGCTTTTCAGATGTATATAAAGATTTGTAGAAAGAGTTGAAGCTTACTGTTACTTCTTAATGACCGTTTCATGTGAGTTGTTAGACATTTGACCTAGTTTGTTATTGCTATTATTAGTTTACATATACATTCAGGCAGCTCTTTGCACATTCTTGCAGGTATGGATTTTGGTTACTTGAGTATTTGAGTGTAGCTGTCATGTCATCTTGCAAATGATGCTTTCATTGATTTTTTTGTTTCTTTTTTTGCAGCTTGACATTGGATCTTTACTTTTGAATTGTAATGAGATTAGTCAGATATGCTTTCTTTATACAGCACAGTTGTGTAAGTGTGGATTGTGAATATATTTCATTTGAATGGGCTCTACTTGTAACTCAAATGTTTTGCTTTGATCCCTGGTAAGGAAACTATTTCCATTTTATTCAGAAGAGTATTCCAAGTAAAACACCTCTGACATGTATAGGAGATATTGGCATTTCTGGTACTAAGACAAGTGGTCTTCTCTGCAGCAATGTCTTAATAACATCTATATTCATGTCTATATTCACTTTAGTTAAATTGTACATTATGAACTAACCGTGGTCTCGAGGATCTTTTCTAAGAAAAACATAGATAATGTGGTTTTTGTACAGGGTAGCTGGGTTTCCTGTCACTGTGGGCCTCATGGCACAGTAGTAGAGTGCAGAGTCTGATACTGCAGCAGAGGAGATCAACAGATCCACTATTTTGTCCTTTAAGTGTAGTTTAGCATCCAGTCCTGGGAAAGGAGGGTCTGCATGTTGTGCAGTGCTTGTGGATGATTCATAGATGAACAGCAAGAACTCTGCTCTGGATCTAGGATGCTGGCGATACCACTGCAGACTGTTCACACTACCATCATACTTGCAGGGGAGAATAACTGCCTCACCTTCAAGAGCATGAAGCAGTGTTCTGTTCAGTGCTATTGACTGTGCAGAAGAGTCTCCTGTGATAATCAATCACAGAAAGATCACATCAGTGCTGGAAATAACAGATGTGTCCTTTAAACCTTAAATTTCATTAACTTTTTCTGATTATTTACCAAAGCACCAAAAGTAAGAGTACATAAAAGCATAGGACAAAATATTTTGGTACATGGGACTTACAATAAAATATAAATGGTTTATCCCACTTACATATTTTGCACCGATATACAGAGAGCCAGAGAGCACAGAAACATCATGGTGATGCCAGTGTACAGATAATAAGGAGAGATGTGATTCTGTTTTTTAATCATGTAAAGTCTCCTCCTACAGCTGTCAGTCTGTCTATTAGGATGGAAGAACACAGACAAAAATCTCACACTTTCTTTACTTTCTTTCTACAGCCATGTTCCACTTTCCATCACAGCAGTGTCATTTTTGTTACTGGTCATTATTTTGTTCAAATGTCTCAACCTGTGAGTCGGATCAGTTGAATACACACAGTTATAATTCTGCCCATCGGTTCACCAAAATGTTTAAAATTTGTTGGAAGATGCGAATGATTTACAAAAAATTCTTAAAATGAATTTTGTCTGCTACATATGCACTCACTTCCTTTTCTCACAAAATAACTCATACAGTCATATCAGAGAAAGTCATAACAGTCATAACAGATAACACATTGTGGTTTGGATGTTACTTTGATCTCCTTGTGTTCAAAGCAAACTGAAGGTGTGTGAGTTTTTGTAAAGCGTCTCAGAGACTTTGTATCACTGGGCTTCAACTCTAAGAGTACAGTAGCAGAGAGCTGTATCTGCCAGTCTTACTTCTCTAACAGTGAGATCAGTGGACTACAACAATTTACATACATACATACATCATCTAAACTGCTTATCCTTCTGGGTCGCAGTGGGGTGCTGGAGCCTATCCCAGCTGTCATTGGGCGAAATACAACATTTTTTTTTTTTAAGTACAACAAACAAAGAAATTAATAATAATAATAATAATAATAATAATAATAAATACATAAATAATTTTCCAAAGACTGTCAAAAACATGTTCACAGTGAGTACCTGATGTGATGATGAGAATGATGAGGAGGTTTCTCTTCATTGTGAATATGATCAGATGGAGTCAGTAGTGTGTTTAAGCTCTCAGTGCTCTAATGCTGATCTGTGTGTTAGTGTGAGTCTCTCTGAAGTGAGTGCAGTTATGAGAAACTACAACAGGAAACTCCTGCTCTGGGGAGCTGCTCCACTGTGCTTTCTGTCTTTGTGGAAATTCAAAGCATAAATAAAAGAGTCACAAGCATTTACACAGAAACAAAAATATTAAAGAATTAGAAGTGAAAGTTGTTTGCTATATATAAATATAGTAATAAGTTCTTTTCTATATATAAATATTTGTGGATATATCTGACAGAGTATTGTTATGACAGTCTTACATCCAAATCCCATATAATGTATGTAATGTGTTTAATCTTTAATATATTTTAATCTTAAGGTTTAATCTTGAATGCATGATCTTTAGATTTGTGTTCTTTTTACTGTTGCTGTATAAAAGACTGTATTCTTCCATCACAGAACCAGCAGTACAGCAAACCTCCCAGTTTAGTCAGACAGACCACAACATTCTTGATAGAGCTGTATCTCTCATAAAGATGCTCAGAGCCACAGAGAAATCTGCTCTTCCACAATTCAAAAATGAGACAATTGTAACTATGGTTTTAAAACAGGAGAAACACAATTCCAAGATGGCGCCGAGTATGGCTGCCGTGTTGCGAGCTCCCGCTACTGTTACAAATCCCTCCCCCGACCCCCGTTCGGCAAATCAGATCATTCCTCCATCCTGCTCCTGCCCACCTATAGGCAGAAGCTGAAACGGGGGCCGGTCACTACCAGGGAGGTGCGCCGCTGGTCTGACCAATCAGATGCTATGCTGCAGGATTGTTTTGATCATGTGGACTGGGAAATGTTCCGTGATTCGTCGGGCAGCGTGGACGAGTACGCAGACACAGTCACCGCCTTCATACGCAAGTGTGTGGATGACGTAGTGCCCTGCAGACAAGTCCGCGTTTACCCCAATCATAAGCCCTGGCTGAACTGTGAGGTTCGCTCCGCCCTCAGCGCACGCAGCGCTGCATTCAGAGCGGGAAATACGGAGGAGTACAAGCAATCCAACTACGCTCTCCGTAAATCCATCAGAGCAGCTAAACGTGCGTACAGAATGAAAGTGGAAGCACAGTTCAACACAGCCAACACACGAAGCTTATGGCAGGGGTTAAATACAATCTCTGACTATAAAACTGCCTCTCGCACTCTGCCCAGTACCAGCGCTGATCTGCCGGACGAGCTTAATAACTTCTACGCTCGCTTCGACGGAATTCCCGCAGCACCACTGGAGAGCGCCCCGCCCACCGCTGATCCCAACCCCCCCTCCGTCTCCGTAGCTGATGTGTGCAAAGCCTTCAAGAGGGTGAACCCACGCAAGTCAGCAGGACCAGATGGCATTCCCGGGAGAGTGCTTAAAGCCTGCCACAGGGAACTAGCAGGAGTTTTTGTAGACATCTATAACACCTCACTGTTTCTCTCGGTCGTGCCAGCTAGTTTCAAACTAGCCACCATTGTGCCAGTTCCAAAGACAGCTAGTATTACCTGTCTGAACGACTGGC